GGGCGCCGCCTACTGGACTGCAGCATTCATCCATCCATTCCCGATGGCTAGTCCACGAAGTGTTAATATTAGGTTCGGTCCCTCGAGTATTTTCTCGCCATATTTTATGAGCTATGGCGGGTATGTAATGACCTGAATGTTCGATTGACGTCCCGGCACACCGCCTCACAATAGAGTTACCAGCATACGACTCCCCGGTAATGTAGAAGTCCTTATCTCTATATTGCTTATGTTTAGCAAAGAATTCCTGTAGGGCCATGTACCTTTCAACTTGAAAGATCCTAGCTGAATCATGTATATATCAGTTGGATGTTCCAACTGATATATACACGATGCATACAGTAGACATCTTCGACCTACAAGTCGTCAGCTGCCTCGAAGGAGCCATTCGTCACGAGTGGTCCGTCAGCGAATCCTGCTCCAGCAGGCTGGTCAACGAAGAGGAGATTGGCTCGCGTATTCCAAGAATACCTCATGCCGAACGTCCAGTACGTCATCACTGATGAAGGATTATTCTCACGGGTTGAGCTCGGTATCCGTTCCATCATCATTAGCCTTGCATGGTCCATTCTCGTGGAAGAGTCCTGTCATGCTGCTGCAGCCAGGGCCACCATTAAGCCATAGGACGAGCGGGTCCTGGGCTGGATCAGAACGAGACTCGAAGAACCAGAAGAATAGTCTGATCACACCTCACATACACGCCAAGACGGATCGGCAAATGTTCACCTTCTTCCATGGCTACCATTAAAATAACCGTATATTTGCTTAACACTCGGGTCGCAGAGGGAGTCGCCACGAGCTAGGAAACCTGTGCTGCTGAGTCCACTCTGGTGTTGCTGCGCTTGGAGTGGCTCGGCCTTCTCAAATGGAGCTGAGGAGAGTGACGGGACAAAATGTCGTGGATGATCCGCCATGGATTGATGCCACGAGGCGAGCTCAGTACTGAAGATAGTTAGTAAATACCTTTTGGTGGGTTGTAGACCATCCAACCGCGCGCCCAATGGATCAGCAGGATGCGACGAAGCAGATGAGAGACATCGATGATTAGAAAAGTCACCTTATGTCACACTATTGATCGTCTTGCAGGGGGGG